ATTTTCTCATTATATGCTCAAAGGGGTATCAGTACCTACGCATAATATGTCATCACAATAATTTTCTGAGACTCTATTTCACTGTCCTACTTCAGAGTGTAAGTGAAAAATAAGCTTTTTTAAGCATAAAATTTGTAATTCGGTTTGCATGAGCATGCTCAAACAATCCACAGCTACATATATTTCCTAGCAGTGAGCATAAAAATGATGACAAAGATAATTTTATCCTTCTTACAATATTTTCTCATTATATACCCCAAGGGGTATCAGTAGTTATACATAATATATCATCACGGTAATTTTCTGAGGCGATTTATTTCACTGTCTCACTTCAGAGAGTGTGTGTGATTGAGAAATATATTTTTCTAAGCATAACATTTGCAATTCGGTTTGCATGACCATGCTCAAACAGACTACAGTTACATATGTTTCCTAGCTGTGAGCACAAAAATGATGACAAAGATAATCTGTTGCCCTTTCTTACAAAATTTTCTCATTATATATCCCAAGAGGTGTTAGAAGTTATGCATAATATGTCGTCATAGTAATTTTTTGAGGTTATCTATTTCACTACCTCACTTTAGAGTGTGTGTGCATAAATGAAAAATATGCTAAACGATGATACCGGAAATATGAACAAAAAATTTGTTATACGGTGTGAATCCACGAGAAATGAATATTTCTCAAAGAGAATATTGAGAAATGTAATATTGGAAGAAGATGGTGTCCAGAACGACGGGTTAGAGCAGAGAAAGCAGAAGCTACGCGGAAAGATAAGGGTAGAATACGAACGTGAGGTGGAATCCCGGGCAAGCCCGTAAAATATCGGAGAAGAAACGCGGGTCGCGGTTCGAACTCTTGGCCCGTGTTTTGCTAAACGTCGTGGATGTTGCGAGCAAAACACCACCCCAGACGACGTAGACTAACAACCACAAGCCGCTCCGCGTGAAAACCGCTACCCCAAACGAGCCTTAATAGACAATTTAGATATTATGAAATTGGACCCAGTAGAGCAAGACTTGATTGAGGGTAATAGTAAAAATCCTAAGGAAGAATCTGCTCTATTAGTAGAAGCAATCCCAAGAATAATTAGGGATAGATTTGAGATTCTAGACATCAGCAAATGTTAAGTATTTAGTTCTTTATGTAGCTGTAGCTCCTAAGCTAGAACTTAAAGTTTTCCTTGGGCACTTAAAGTGTGTATTTTAAGAGAAAATTCAAATTTGCTTATTATTATATCAAGTGTTTTTAGTGAATTACAAGAGATAGTTAATGAGAGTTTTTTGGACTTTTAGGCAAGCCTTTGAGTGGAGTATATCATATGTAAAAATAAATCGCCCTTATGCATGCACAAAATATTAATGGAGGAAGATCATCAGTAATGAAAGATGTTATAAAGATTCTAAGTGATTAGATGCATGAAGTATCTATCATATTTATGATAGTGTATAAGTTAGCCCAATACATCGTGTGCCCAAGAAGGAATGGGTGACAGTAGTGAAGAATGAAATAAAAAACTTATACCCAACATGAGTGTCACTGGTTGGAGGATCTGTATTGACTATAGAAAATTAAACAAAGCGACTAGAAATAATCACTTTCCATTGACTTTTCTTGATCAAATGTTTGATAAATTGATAGGATACCCTTAATTCTGCTTCTTAAATAGTTATTCTGATTATAATCAAATTCTTATAGCTACAAAAGATCGAAAAAGATTACTTTTATTATTATCTACAAAGCATGTCTTTAGAAGGATGCCATTTAGATTTTGCAATGCCCCTGCCACTTTTTAGAGATGCATGATGTCTATATTCTTGAATTTGATAGAGATGGGGAGTAAGGATTTCATGGATGACTTTTCTATATCGACAAATCCTTCGACTCATGGCTTGAGCATCTTGCAAAAATTTTATAAAGATGTGCAGAGATAAATTTAGTATTGATAAATTTAGTATTAAATTGCAAAAAAATATCAGTTCATGGTGACTGAAAGAGATATTTTTAGGATATAAGGTGTCTAAGAAATGAATGGAAGTAGATCAGACCAAGATTTTGGATGTATAAAAACTACGCATACCCACTTTTGTTAAAGAGATTAGGAGTTTTTAGGGTGTGCTAGACTTTATCGCAGATACATTTAGAACTCTAAAATTTCTAAATTACATTATCATTTATTAAAGGAAGTGTCCATTCTCTATGATAGTATCTAGCAACCATTTCTTAAAAAATAAATTAATCATAGTGCCCGTGAGAGATGCACCCAATTGGAATTATCTTTTTGAGCTTATATGTAATGTTAGTGATTATGTTGTAAGAGTTGTGTTATGCCAAAAGAAGGATAAATTTTTTCATTTAATATATTATAGAGTAAGACTATTACTAAGACCCAAGTTAACCATACTAACAATGAGAAAGAGTTGTTGGTTATAATATATTATTTGAAAAATTTAGATCATACATGATAGGTACCAAAGTCAAGGTTTACACTAACCACTCGGTTATTAAATATATTGTAACTAAGAAGGATGTCAAACCGCGATTGATCAATTTGATACTTTTATTATAGGAAGTTGATATTATGATAATGGATATGAAGGATAAAAGAGAATCCGGAATTTGATAACTTATCGAGAATTGAGCAGGAGAATTCCAAGAATTTATTAGATGATATTTATGAGAATTTTCCTCATAACAATTTCTTTCAATCATTGAACAAAATATTCATTGGTATGCTTATACGGTTAGTTACAGTAATAGTGGAATTATTCATTTTTGATATATCGCACACCAAATGAAGAAATTTATTTTTGATGTCAAATTTTATTTTTGGAATGAACTCTTTCTTTTTAGAAAATGCAAAAATCAAAATATAAGATGTGTTCCTTAAAAAGAGGTAGAAAAAATCGTTAGATCTTGCGATAATTCTGAATTTTGAGGGTATTTTGGAAGTTTTAGATCTTGTAATTAAGATTTTATCGGTCGACCCTATGTGAGGATATTGATAAATATATTAAGAAATACGATAAGTGTCAAAGAGTATACAATATTCCAAAAAGAAATGAAATTTCCTTAAACTATATTTTCGACGTATTTGATATTTAAGGATTAGATTTTATGGAACCATTTGTACAATTACTAGAAAATCATTATATATATTGATTGTAGTAAACTATGTATCGAGGTATATAGAGGCACTCGTTTTATGTGGCAGTGATTCACTAGGTGTTCAAAAATTCTAAAGAATAAAAATGTTTAGCAAATTTAGAATACCTCGAGTTATTATTAGTGATGGAAAAATCACTTTTGTAATAAAAGAATTGGGGCATGAATTGTGATGGGATTAATCGCAGAATTTCTACTACGTATCACCCTCGAACTAGTGGTTTAGCAGAAATTTCTACTAGAGAGATTAAAAGTATTGTAAAGAAAACTATTAACCTTAAATGAGTGGTCTCTTAGGCTAGATAATACATTGTGGGCCTATATGATTGCCTATAAAACACCTATAAGTATATCTCCATATAGGATGATTTTTTTGAAAATTTTGTCATTTATTAGTAGAATTAGAGCAAAAAACTTAATGAGCAGTTACGTAATTCAATTATAATCTGAAAGATTCGGCAGAAAAAATGTTGTTAAGTATAGGTTTGCATTAGTTCTACATCACAAAAAGTTTTTCTTTGGTTTGCTTGTCTAACATTCAAAACCTTTACATTATTCTTCTTTTGTCACTGCTTTATCTAAGAAGTTAGACACTCTTAGTGATGATGTCGCTATTATTAGTGGTGATAGCATGATATGGGTCAAATATTAAATTTTTATGTTGATCAGCATCAATGTCAATACCACTATAAAGTGCAGGCCAATGAGGCTTTAACGGGGATGATCTAGCATGACTAGATGCACAAGGGGAGCAATGACAATCATCTTCCTGACATGCCATCTTTTCGATTCTATGGAAATAACTTAGAGCCTATTGAAAAAGATGAGGTGAAAGATGATGACGAAGATGACAATGAGGGCAGAGGCACCTGATTCTTTGGATATTCTGCCCATCCATTCTCCTCTGTATTTTTAGTATACTTCTTTCCCAGCTAATCTATCACTTTCTTAGAATTGTTTTAGTTATACGTTCATCTCAGCTCATTTTCATCATCTCTTTATAAGTTTCTCAGTATGATTCTTCATGTTACATGCTACAGATCTCTATCTTCCAATATTTATCATGTCACAATATGTATGTTCATCCTATCTTTTTTTGGTAGCCTTGACACATATATCTATATGTCATGTCTTAATGCCCAAGGTTATATTCATACTTCATAATATCCTCTTTCCCCTTTCCCTTTATCTCTTTGGCTCCCAATGGCACTCTACTAACCCCCATTATATATCATCAACATTAAACTATTAAAATAGCATTTGATGTACAATTTTAAAAACTTAAAATTAAACCAAAATAAGTAAATTCTCCAATATAGCCACTTTACGGCACACGCATAATCACCCCACTCATGAACCATAAACAATCACGGAAAAGCTGCGAAATTGGACCTGCTGGTACTCATAACATAAGATTGCTGGATATAGGATACAAAAAATCTATGCAGAATCGCAAATGAAACTGTGAAGGATGGTCCAAAACTGAATCATAGCAACAAAAATTGGGAACTAAATCAAAACCGAAAAGCTAGTGACAAAAGGAGATATAGGACCAGGGAAGAAAAAGGAGTTCTAAGTCAAAATGGCAAACTAAATAAAAATTGAAATATGATATACCATCACAAGTACATAACTAGTGTCATAGCCTGTTCCATCACATAAGCAAGACCACTTAACTTGGTCTACTCAGATCTGATAGAAATTAGAAAGACCATTCAAGGCACTGAAAAGTCTAAAAACGAATTCCCAAATAAAAATATTTATGTAAAAGGAATTAGAAGCAAACAGCAGCCGGAAAGTGAAGGCAGAAAAGAAAGTTGAACCCATAATTTTACCTGTATATCAACAAGGTAGATCAGTCTCATAAGCAAATCCAAAACCTTTTTACATGTTTCTGCGCTTCCATCCCAAGTCTTCCACATATCCGCATCTTTACTGGTAGCTTTATTGCAAAGATCCCTAGCTTTTTCAGTAAGGCAGTTGATGCAGTAAAAAATCGCTGGACTTCCAGCAGGAAGTTGCCGAACTAAAGCTGCAACTCCAGAAGCTAAACCTTCGAAAGGAGTAATGCCGGGATAAACCTTTAAGAAAAAAAGCAACAAAATTCCATAGTTCTATATAATATAATGTAACATAGTTCACAATGGTTTGGTTATCCAATCTACCTCTAAAGATCTCTGAATGTAATAAAAAACAAGCTTTTCCTTTAAATCCACTCTCTCGTCTTTGTCAGTGTCTTTTCCAGAAGACATGAAAGCAGCAAATACAGAATGTGAAGCTCTAGCCACTTTCTCATTAGGATGTTGAAGATATCTACAGAATTTTAAGGAAGATTATGAATCAACTGCTAGTAGCTTAGTTGATAAGCCTACTGCAAGCTTTGCTTAAAGAAAGAACCAAAATCAAAGGAATGGTACTTCTGGTAAATTGCCATATGTGACACGTGGCGGTGGAAGGGAACCAATAGGAGAATGAAATGGATAAGTATTGTGAAATAGCATCTTTCCCAAAAAGCCAAATGATTTCTAAATCACATCTAGAAGATTGTTAATGATATTGCAAGAACAACTGGATTTGATAACTAAAGGATACAGGAACATAGTGGGTGCTATCAGCTCTCCAAACAACGAAGCCGGAATGAAACTGATGCAGGTTGGTATGACACGCAGGTAAAACAACATTCTGGCAGTCTGCACCTCATCTTCGGACCAAACATATCTTGTCCCCTCCAAAGCAAATAAACCTTTCAGATGATAAGAAGGGCATATACATGTATGTTATTTAATAGCTATTGAAAAAAGGGGCATTTACATACATAGCAAACGATTCTTATGTATTTACATATCTTACACCTAAGCTTTCATATTTACACAACACTCAAATTTATAGTATCACATCAGAATAGCACTATTACCATTTTTTAAAAGTGAAATCTATCTTTTGATGCATAGGCTTAAAACACCAAAGTGCTACAAATGTAAGTATGAAAGTTTAGGTGTGAGATATGTATATACATAAGAATTGTGTGCTACACATTTAAATTTCTCTAAAAGAAAAAATGTATGCATAATGCCTGCGTGAGATAAGACAAATTAAACAATTTCTAAAAATTATAGTAGGAGTTGAATCTAAAATGTAGAAAAATAGAAACCTTGCTTATCTGTTAGCTCGGAGTATGAAGGAATAGACTCAACAAATGAGGCACAAAGTAAAGAATTTTCCTGCATGGTCAAGACAGCCCGTCGAACAGCATCTGTATACTCTGGCAACCTAACACGCCTCATATATTCTATGCAAGAAAATGCAATTAAAATCCGAACAGAAGCTTCGGATTGGATCCCATTTGATGATTTGGGATTCAACTTCTGGCTGGCAACTTCTGCAGCATAGACAACAATCATAAGAAATGCAGCTTCAGCAACTTTCTCGAGATATCCAAGCAACTGATCATGCCTTCCCCGATGCACTAGTACAACATAACGAAGGTTTGAGTAAAACTCCAGCGCGTACTTCCACATATAATTTTCAACAATCCCCTTGTGCTCTTCATCAGCAGAAGCATACTGATTGCAGAAGATGCTGGTAATTACACCTGCTTCCTTGAAAGCAGCACTATCCAAATGTCCTTTCACCTTCTCTAGAACAAAATCCACTGATGTTCCTTCCTGAATTTCAACCGCCATACTGCAGAAACTTCCAAGCGGGAAGATTTCTTTCAACAATGCTTTGCAGATAGCCAGAAGAATTGGAGCGCTGAAGGAAACAGGACCAGCTCGAGCCAGTCCAATAGAAATGCATTGAAGAAGATGGCTGCTCTCTAAAGAGCCATCCAAATTAGAAACCACAAGCTTAGCAATAGAGCTAATAGAACCTTCCACCGACCTTTTCATATCGGGACTCAATCTAATCCTATTGGTCCCCGGAACCAATCGGAAAGCCCTCAAACAACCAGCAGAAGCCATGGAAACGGCAAGCGGAGCATAGCCTTTCGCCTCCCAATTCGCAGCAGAAAGCTCTCCACAAACAACCTCAACCTTCCCCAAAGTTCTCAAATAAATAAAATTCGTCACCAACCACTCCAATAAACTAAGGAGCATCAGTCCGCAGTAGACTGAAGCGGGAGGTGAGCCTCTTTTCCAAATTTTAAGCAAGAAGGAAAATATTTTACTGAAGTAGGGTTCGTCCGAGCGAGAAAGAGCGTACCCGATGCCAGCCAAAAAATCGGCAACCGCTTCTTCTTCTAACTGCACCGACTCCAATATCCGGTAGAGGATGTCAAGGCAATCCCTTCTGTTTGAGACCTCGAGGGCAGGGTTGACGATAAGGGCGCCGAGAAAAAGAACAGACATCTCGGGGCATTGTGGCCGAAATGAAAATATGTGGGAGATTTTGGCGGCGGCAGAGTTGACGAGCGATGGGGAAGCGCGGGGAGTTTTGCGGAGCCAGCAGTAGAGGAGACGGAGTATAAAGGAGAGGGAATTCGGAGGAAGTGGTGGGTCAAAGGAGAGAAGGGATAGGAGAAGCTTAGCTTGGGGGTCTGCGATTTGCAGAGAAGAGCGTGCGGCGTCGAGGGTTTGAAGGGCAGCAACGAGGCGATTGGAGTCGGAAGAAAGGAGAGAAGTGTCACGAAGATCAGACCAGGCTTGGAGGATGGATCGGGCAGAGACTGCGGTGACCGGCGGCGGAAAAGTGTCTCTTTTTTTGGCGGCGCTGCCCAGCCAGTCTTCGAGGAAAAGGACTCGTGTTTGGGTGTTAGCCTGCATGAGAGTAAGGAGAGGGGATAAAAGGAATGCGATGCGATGAAGGGGCGATCAAAAAGATGACATTTATGCTACCGCTCGGTTGAGTTGCTGTGTTTCTTGTAGCTGAATCAGATGACGCCCAGTAACCTTTTAATCAAAATATTTCTTAATAAAATTGAGCTTAAGAAATCCAAGCGCACGGATGTCTAGGGCTGTCATAAAGGTTTGTTGTTCACGAGCAGCTCATGTTCGACTTGATAAATGAGTCGAATACGAATAACACGAATAAATATTTGTTCGTGATATTCGGCTCATTTTGATATATATATATATATATATATATATTTGATGAGTCTTATTTTTAAAAGTTTTAATTGACTACAAGGCTACAAAGATTTATAATCAATTAAACGTATTAATTAAGAAAATATAATAAAAAATATTAAATTAGATTCAAATGATGTTTTAAATCTTACCCCAATCCTTAAGATCTTATGGCTACGTGCTTAGGGTTGTCAAAACAACTCTTTGTTCGTGAACGGCTCATGTTTGACTCGCTAAGCAATTGATCCGATCACAAACACACTTTTTGAGCTCTAAATATAAACGAGTCAAACACGAGCTCATTTACACCCCTGCTGGTGCCATAACTCATAAGGGACTCTATCTAGGCTTTAAAGAATATCATGCAAGTAAAGAATTACTCTGGCGACAGCAAAATACAACTGAGTCGGCTCCAATAATATGAACTGCCCAAGTGAAGACTAGATACAGCAACAGGTAAATGAACTGTTTTAAAGAGATCTAGCTAAATATATATATATATATATATATTTAGGCACATCATATGATAAAATATCTAACTCGATTGAGTTTAAAGAAAAATCATGATATCATTAAAGCCTAACAATATCATCATAAAAAGAACTAATAGCTGCCAAAAAAGAGCCCAACCAACAGTTTGAAGCCACCAAGTGTGTATGTGCTTAACAAAAACAACTAAACCAAAAAAGGTAAAATAATACCAGCAAACAGTAAGAAAAATTCACATGCCAACTGAGAAATAAGAATGTGGTATCTGGATAATATAGTAGCACAATATAGCAAACGAAGAAGAGAAGAGCTACATAGAAGCACCAGTAAGCACAAATTGAAACCCATTCAAATCAATAAACCAAAAAGTAAGCGTTGGCGGGGGATTTTTTATTCTAGTGTGTATCCACCATATATATTGAAAAACTTTTTTAAATAATCGGATATTGCATTTGAAAAATAATATATTGATGCGCCAAAATTTCACGCGGAGTAAGTCGGGTGTACAAAGCAAGTGCACGGTATGTGATTTAAGAGTCTTTGTATCTATCCCACGATGAAAGTGTAGCAATTATTTTTGCAGAAAATCTCTAACCTGCCAATTTAGTTAACCTAGCTTGGCAAGATTTTCTCTAATTTCTCACGGAGTAAGTCGGGTGTACAACGCAATTGCACGTGTCAAGTAGTATGTGATTTAAGAGTCTGTGTATTTATCCCACGATGAAAGTGTAACAATTATTTTTACAGAAAATCTCTAACCTGCCAATTTAGTTAACCTAGCTTGGCAAGATTGCAAAGATGGTTTAAGTCATAAGATTCTAGCAAAAATAGAGTGAATGGTAGACAACATAAAACAGAAACAGCGGAAAGATTTTTTGTGCTCCTTCAAGTTTGATAAAGCTCGTGCCTCTGTGATTCAGGGGATTGTGATAATCGTTATTTTCTTAAATGTATTCCTGTGTGATTGTTGTGAGCTGGAGATAAAAGTGTTTCTTGTGTCTATGTATAGGTTAAAAGAGGCATAGAATCCATGAAGTTGATGTTTTCTCAATCCTCGTAGCATTCCGCATAATTATTCTAATCCCCTGTATTGATTACAAAATTTCGTTGGAATATGTCTATCATCTCGAAATTATGTGGTTAACCCTCGTTTTCACTACGCAAAAGTTAGAGGTTGTAGCTTCACAAATTTAACATTTTACTTGGCCGGACTATGAGTAAATTAAGTTCAGAGGTTAACCAACAACATAATCTATGAAAACACGAGAAAAATGCTAACAAAAAAATATTATGGAAAAATCACAATTAAATTCACAACTCCTACATCACAAAGACATGAAAAAAGAATTTTGCTATGAATCTATATATATATATATACACACACACACATATACATAAATACTCTGGATATTGATATTTTCAGATGATAAAAATGGTCTCGCCCAAAAATAAGGGGGGCAACTGATTCGCCACCAATAAATTTTCATCATCCAACACGAATCTTGAGGCATGACACAAATTTCGAGAAGATATTTTAAGTAGGAAACATTCAAATCTTGATAAAAAGTCATTCAGAGCTCCGATTTCAGCAAACTTATAGTCAAACTGACCGGCTGATGAGACAGACCTAATGATATGAAAACTAACCCAATCCGAGTCAAATCAAACCCATATCAAATCATTGAATCACCCTTAAATAATTTCCGGACACATTTAGAAGATCAAAGGGTTGTCGAATATGATAATTTTACACTCGAATTGAGCGGCTTGATAAGATGAATCCAACGAGCCCAATATCACTCAATTCTGACATCATTAAGGCACTCAAATTTCCAGTAAATGTCATATGATCGAGGAAAGCTCTCCAGATCGTCTGATCAAAATGATTCATATTCCTGCATTAATTACACCCATAATACTATAAATAGAGCCTCGTCCCTCTCATGAGGGGGGATAAAGTTTGGAGAGAGAGACTAAGATCTTGAGGAGAAGTTGCAGTTCAACATCACCATCAATCATCGTCGAACACCGCCGACCTCCGTCATCGACCACCGCCGATCGCAGTCGACCATCACTGACTGCCGAAGACCATCGCCGATCACTGTTGACCTTCGCCAACAGTCAACAATCACCACCAACCAGACGCTGTCAGTTAATGTTGTAATCTGAAAAATATAGTTATCATTTCCCGTCTGTGGGATAAGGGATTTTTGTAATAATCAATCAAAAGTGGATTTTCACAACATGGTTTTCCCTTACGAGATTTCCGCGTAAGAACTTATGGAGTTATCACCACTTGTTTCTTTTTCATCTGTGTGTGTGCTGAACTTTTGTACAACTCTAAGATGATAGTCTGTTACTTTGCCGCCGTGAATTTTCTAGCACACATCAATGATCAAGATGTTTTTAGGACTTAAAGAAAAATCCATGGGATCCTGAGTTGATTTGAGTGGCTCAGGACATGTCTTATTCATAGATGTTGAATCCTCACAAAAGTGAGGTCAACCAGGTTAAGGAGAAATTTTTATTCCCATTTGACATCATGTAGGGGAACACCTAGAAACACCATAGAAGCATGATACCTAAATCAAAGAAGCATGAGTCTTTCGCCTCTGTAGAACATTTCTGAATTCATGTTTCTCGTGTTTATAGATCATGCTTTTTTTCTTTTTTGATTTGCTTATAATTGCAGATTTCAAACTTTGCAATTACGATTACATCAAACTAGGTTTAGAAAGTTAGTAAACTAGAGATTCACCTTTTGAAATAAGCCATAGAACTTTTCTTGTGGGATCAATATTCTGACTCATTAATCTGCATATTACTTTACATATATACTTATGTGATTGTTCACTTGCCTCACCAAAAATTTTCGGTCATTGATCAACTTGGTCAAACTTGGAGAATCATAATTTAAACTATAAAAACCTATGCCAAAATGAATCCATAGATTTCATGAGTTTATCCAAGTTAAACTTGGCCAAGCACATATATATATATATATATATATATATATATATATATTTATTTAATTTAGAGATATATATAAAATTGAA